GGCACTGTATCTATTATGTATTATATTATAATGTTTGTACTGATTTAATGTACTGTACATATTTTATGTTGGAAGCTGCCCAGAGTGGTAGAATCTACCAGATGGGCAGGATATAAATCAAATAAATAAATAAATAAATATGCTAACATTATTCACTTAAAAGGCATTTGTTGCAATAAATTGAAAGGTCCCCAACAAATTTCTGGAGTATATAGATGCAACATTGTTGAAAGCAGGCCTCTGGGATTCATACAGAGTCTTCTTTAATACCATTAACAAACTTGCAGGCAGAACTCAATAAAATTGGCTCTAAACCAGCATAATCAGTAGCACTCAATGGGACTGAGTTGAAAAGGAAGGGGATGGAATTGGTGAAATTAAGAACAGTAGATGCTGCAGTCTGAGTAGTAATTTATAATCTCAACCACAGATGGCCAGAAACAGATTGGGCTCTATTGATAGATCTCTGGGGAACTTTTCATGAGATCTGTAATAGGTCTGTACTTCCCAACTATTAAGCAATTGCTGCAATACTAAGTCTTTGACAACAGAAACAGAGAAAATTTGGAAAGGCAAGAACTGCCACCTCTAAATGAAAAAGCCAGGATCTCTGTTCTGGTAATGAAAATTGTTGTGAGCCGCCCAGAGACCTCTGGGTAGATTGGGCGGCATAGAAATTAAAATAAATAAATAAATAAAATGAATTCCTAGACTAATTATGTGCACAGATATACTGTACGTGTTAATTCTAAGTGTGTATCTACCTCACACAATGAATCACTGTATGCAAACATTTGATTCTCATTGGTACATTTTGGGAGATCTACTAGAAAAGGCAGATCCTGATATCTGCCCACATTTAATCTATACAGCCCTCTTCTTCAACTGTTAGCTGTTATACATATAAGACAGTTCTTGACTAAGCTTTTCTTCAGAAATCCTGCAAGTCTTGCAACCCCATCCTGCTAATCCAAAGGTAGAGCAGAACTGGTCTCGATGTGAAGCAAACAAGTAAATCAGGAGAGAAAAATGACAGGGAGGACCAGGCAGCCTTCAACAGGGATCTGCAGTTGCTAGCGGTATCTATACAAAAATATAGGTCTGGACAAATGTTGTGTCCGCCAGTGGATGAACCCTGCCCTAAAGAGCATTTAAGTCATTGCTCTTAGCCTGGGAGAATACACAGTGAAGTTAAGGGAGAGAAGGCTCAAAGAACAGTGACTGCCCAGAGCTTGGAAAAGTTACTTTCTAGAATATAATTCACAGAACTACTCAGCTACTATGGCCATCATCATGCTGGTTGTGCTGTGCTTGGACTTGCCATCCAAAACAAAAAAAAAAACACACAAAAACAAACACAAACACAAAAAAACCCCTAATGTTTCCAAGCTCTGGCTTGTAGTAATAGGCAAGAAAATACAAAAGCTAACCAAGTCAAGCCAGAAAATGTTCCTCTTTGTGACTATCTCTGAAACCCAAAGTACATGAAAGTGAGGAACTTTCCTTTTGCTCATGGTGCCACAAGGTGCATTTAAACACCCTGCCAGTGTCCAGGCACTAGGCTCTAAATGAAATCTCAGGGCTCTTTTTCTATTGTCCGTAACTATGTCAACAGAATTTAATGAGCTGTATTGCTGGATTACACAACTTTACCAGCATCACTAAGAGGAAATATCACCTGTGCTTGCCATCCATTAAGTCTGTCTCTCTCTGGAAAGTGCTGCTCACAGGGTTTTTTTTTTTTGTCATCATTGTCCCCCACCCCCTTTTCTGCAGTGCTTCAGTCTCTGCTAATGAAACTACAAATGCCTGTCTTATCATGGAATAATCAGAGGAAGAAAGTATCTAAAAGTTACTGTCTCCTCTCCACTCATGCAGGACAATCCCAAACATCTAATTCCAATTTAGTCACGAACCATAATTGACCAGTTTATCTAAGCTCCCAAACGATGGTTTGCACTTACCGAGAAGCCTCAGTTTGATACGAGCACAAATTACAGTGTGGTGGTTTAGCCAAAGAGGTAAACTTATGGTTTGTCATTAAGCAGAACTAGAAAACTGGCACACTGCACAAAGGGGTGGGGGGGGGGCAGTGTGTCAGCGCAAGAAACTTCAGGTCTCATTTTTGTCCTTTTACACCATGGCTACATCTGAACAATCTCAACGGCAGAGGTGCAACCTTAGGGACATAAACATTCTCAGAGTGACATTTTCAAGGTCTGGAAAACAGCACCAGTTAGGGTGGAGCCTGCTACTGTACTTTTATGCTGAATTCACCTGAGTAGATTGTAAACAGTCTAAAAGAGAAAACAAGGTGGGTAGAAGAGGAAGACAGCTTCTTTAGAAGTGTCCCTACCCATACTGAAGAACTCCATCAGCTCTGAAGCTAAGAACCCTTGTAAAAATCTTTTTCATCACCATGAAACCTAAAAAGACTGCATACACAAATATATATTAAAAACTGAGTTCTCACAGAGTTCTGTATTAACAGAAGTTCCTTTAAATGGTTTCACAGGCATTACATGGTGGATGGAACTCGGACAAGCCACTTGCACAAGTTCTTACGCACTTCTGCCCAACTTCTGAAAAAAACTGATTTGTAAAGTTAATCTGGTATGCGTATAATCTTGTGGTCCACAATGTGATATCCTTAGTTAGCATCATGCCTCCAAAGATATGTGGCTCAGCACCAGTAACACCAACTCCCCCAACCATTTCCCCCATTTATTAACAGGCAGCCTCTACACTTCCTCCATAGGCCAAATTGGCCATTCTCAAGTTTATGTTAGCACAAGAGATGGGAAATGCTTTTCTTTTCTTTTTTGGACACCTCCCATAATCACATCGCCAACCTGGCTATTGGGCTATGAGAGTGGGTTCTATAGTTTAAAAAGTAAGGTTTCCCATTTCTGAGTGGGCATGGGTTTTCAGATTTCCATTTCAAATCAGCATCATCCTGCTGTTTCTACAAAAATCATTGTTAAGGAGATGCACCCTTTGAGGGCAGTTTATTCTGCCTTTACAGTGACTGATTAATCCAAGCAACTACATTGTAAACACATAGGGTGATTTATTCATCCCAAGGTGCATATGACTCAAAGAGGATAAGAATCCAAAAGTTAACCCACAAGGAGATTCAACATGCAATTTTTTACTAAAGCTGAATAGTTTGAGTACACAGGGTCCTTTAATATTATAGTTTTTTGCTCATGGCATAGCAGTAAACTGCAGAAGACAGAATAGGAATGCCATCCAAAGATAAGAAAGCCATTTGGGAAAATAGTTAGTATACTCAGTTCAGAACAGGGAAACTGGCACAGATCTCTTTAACTGCCTGTTCTCACATTTGAGTAGAAAGCGAGTTGAACAGAGTAACACCACTACAAAACGGGACTTCTTTGTACTAAACTGATAGGAAGCTCTGCTATATTTCTCATTACTTGGAGAGACAGTTGTGTTGGTTTGAATTCAAGATTTCATATCAGCCCTTTAATTTTAGAGCTCCTTAATGAAAGATGTGAAATTGGCTCTTTTGTTATTTTCCTTCAGACCAGCTACAGAGACTCTTTTGTTCTATCAGACTTTTAATGCTATGTAACATTTAGTGATACTCTTTCATTTTAATGATATCCTCAAATTTCATTCTATGTATGTCTGGCTTTTTGCTCCTGGCTGAAATCCTGTTGTTTAGCATAATACATTGCAATTAGAGTAGGCCATTGAATCTCTGGGAATCTGGGGAGCCAGCTCCTTTGTAAGTTTCATTGATTCAACAGGCTTACTCTAGTTGTGACTTACTATACAAAGCAACAGGATTTCAGCCCATGTTTCTAATAACCCCTTTTTAAGATAGAACATTTCACATGCCTGGTAGGCAGAGAGTGCCAGCTGTAACAATTAAAGAAACAAACAGAAGATCCAGAGTATTAAGGCTAGATTTGGGCATTCCAAATTAACATGTGGTCCAGCTAAAGAACACAGGGTGCCTATCCTTTCTTAAATGAAACCTGTCTATTCAAGCTGGCAGCTGGCATGGCTGCAGCTTACAGGAAGCAGTTGAAAGTATTGTGAAAACAGGCAGATACTGAGAGTAAAACTGTTAGTTCCAATATACAGCCACTGAATGAATGAATCTTACTATGTCACACTCACGTAAAAGCTCCATTGGGTCAAAGGAGTTATTCTGTTGAGTCTAATAAATGGATCTAGCCCACAATGTTTACCACAAATAGAAAGATTATATGAATTATCACTCTGTTAACCAATGGGTGTAACTGAAAAGACACCAAATGATTAGATACTCTCAATATATGTAGAATCTCAACAATATATGCTCTTTAAAGCTAAGAAACCTATTGCTAAAAAGTGTCCACAAGCCAGAGTGCCATATCATCAGGTAACAACTCTCAAAAAATTAAACTTTATTCCATTAACAAGCTTGGATTATTATTCTAACATAAACAACATGTTAGAAATTAAACTGTGCAAGATAGTGTTTGATCAACTAAAGTTCAAGCTCAAGGTTCCGGAATTTACAAGGCCATTCTGCTCAGAGTTTTATCAAGCAACAAGATAAAATTTTCATTTCATGTTGCATCAAGATCCACTTACTGAGACAGGATTGGGCCTGAGTGACAGACCAACATACTGCAACACCCCTTCACCCACTTTAGAGAAATACAGCACAAGCTTTCACGCCCTCACACAAAAGGGCAGCAGATGTACAAATGGGAAACAGCAAAGGTCTGTTATTACAGAGAGGCTGAAGGATTAGACGCAGCACTTAATTCAGTAGAACCCTACCTATGTCAGGAAAACAACAATGGTCATTTGTGGCAACTACACCCAAGGCAGCCAACCTCCAGCTGAAAGTGGCACAAGACAATATGCCATTCGCTTTATTAAATTGCCCAGAGCTTGGTGATTTCGCCATGCATGCTGCTATTTCCACCAGCTATGGCTCTATAAACAACCAGGCAGAAACAGTTTCCCTTCCTTACCTCATGCTGTAAGCACCAGCGCCCAGCTCTTGTCCAATGCCAGAGAGGCTGGCATCGAAATCCTGAACGAGGCCCGACTCGATGACTTCATCAGCTAGAGGTAGCTTCAAAGCCCAAGCCATTTTCTCACGATTCCTCAACAACTAGCTGGCTGGCTTAGGGGACAAAGCAGAAACCTCCTCCAGAACATTCAGTGCACACCAAGGTCTGCCCAGCAGGTCCTCAGGCACCAAGACTCATCCCTGGGGCAAACCATTTAAGCCAACAAGGGCCATATATAGAGGACCCTCTCCTTTCCAAAGGCCAAGTGTCCCTCTCCCAGCTCCAAATGGTGCAGCCTTTTCCCGTGGGCGCCTTCTCTCCACTGCCAAGCACTGACTCTGATCCACAATGCCCCCCACCTCCTGCACGCCCACTTCCCCCCCCCCCGCGCCCACAAACTAACTTTTCTCAAGGA